CTAGGACACTGTAATTGTTACTCTTTTCTCTGCTGAGGGCAGTTGCTTTATTGTTGCTTTTGCTGACCTTCCTTTCTCTCATTTTTGCAATGCTTGCTCAGGTCCTGGTTTTATAATTCTCCTCCTGTGCTGTAGCATGACTGTTTGAATCTTCACGACAATATTTGGTGAGTGGCTGATCTCTAACTAACTGGGGTGTTCATTCTAGTCAGCATTTTAGCTTTTATATGAATAAAGCATGAATTTCCCTTCAAGGTTCTGTAAAACTGTGACTGCAATATTAAAAAAAAAAACCCACCACGTCTCTGGGTTCTTTCACGTCCTTGCCCCCTTTTGCCCAAAAGAGGGCACTCTATACCTGACTTTCTTTCAACTGTTTTTACTCTTTTTGTTTCTGTTTTTTTTTTTCTTTTCTTACATTCACTCATTAATTGCACAAAAGATAGTGCCGCTTTTTATTTACAATTCAAATACATGAATCTCCTTTGTTCAAGTCTAATGAGAATCATTCATAAGGTGGGGAAAAAGAAAACCATTCACTGCAATACAATAAGTAATGAAGCATGTTTCCTATGCAATTTTTCTCCAGAGGTAAAAAACAGGAAAAAGCTCATGATTTGACCTGTGGTGGACCTGGAAGCAGTTTCACTGGGGAAGTAGCATCTGTCCTTTCCCATGGTGGAAGGATAAAATAATCCAGTCTTATGCTTTTGTTTGGTGTCATATTTGGCTTCCTTCTCTTGATCTTAATGTTCCTTGGGACAAAGGCACCACAGAATAATGGAATCAGAGAATACCAGGTTGGAAAGTACCTCAAGGATCATCCAGTCCAACCTTTCTTGGCAAAAACACGATCTAGACAAGATGGCTCAGCACTCTATCCATCCAAACATTAAAAGAATCCAATGTTGGGGAATCCTTCACTTCCTGTTCCTTGAGAAGGTTATTCCAACGTCTGATTGTTCTCATTGTGAAAAAATTTTCCTTTTGTGTCCAACCAGAATAGCCACAGAAGTAACTTGTACCCATTACCCCTCACCTTTTCTGTGGGACTCCTTGTAAAAGAGGGAGTCTACATCTTTGTAGCCACTCTGCAAGTACTGGAACATGGTGATAAGGGCTTCCCTAAGCCTTGTTTTCTCAAAGCTGAACAAACCCCGTTCTCCCAGCCTCTCCTCATATGGCAGGCTTGCCAGTCCTCTGATCATCTTTGTGGCCTCTCTCTAGACCCTCTCTGGCCTGTCCACATCTCCTTGTATAGCAGGGACCAAAACTGAACACACTATTACAGGTGTGATCTGACCAGTGCTGAGTAGAATGGGATAATGACTTCTTGTCTCTGATGGTGATGCCAACCCGGCATCGTGTTGCTGCATCCTTTGCTGCAGCAGCACCACAGTTTTTGCTCATATTGAGCTGCTTGTCCACCAGGATCCCCAAGTCCCTTTCCACATACCTGCTCCCCAGCTGGATAGACTCCAGTCTGTGCTGCAGTCCTGGATTATGTTTTCACAGGCGCAAAACCTTATACTTGTCCATGGTAGCCCACTCTTCCAGCCTATCCCCATATTCCCGCAGGACAGCAGGATGTTTAAGAAGAGATTGGATGTGGCATTTAGTGCCATGGTCTAGTAAACATGGTAGTAGTGGATCAAGGGTTGGACTTGATGATCTCAGAGGTCCTTTCCAACTCAGCTAAAGAAAAAATAAATTCTGTTTCTGCTCACTGTTTATGTACCTGAAAAACCCTTTCTTTCAGTTTTTAACATCTCTGGCCAATTTAAATTTGATCTGAGCTTTTGCTTTTTTAAGTGCATCTCTGCATGCCCTGGGGTAATGTTGTTGTAGTTCTCAATGAGTATTCATCCCCTTTTCCATGACTGGTACTCTTCTCTTTTGGTTTTGAGCAAACTCAGAAGTTCACAGTTAAGCCAAGGGGTCTCTCACTCTGTCTGCTTCCCTTACCTTTGAAGAGGAGGAACTGTTTCTGTGCTTCCAGGAGAGCATTTTAAAAAAACTCCCAGCACTCCTAGCTCCTTCATCTTCCATTAAAGCCGCCCACAGAATTCCTCCCAACAGAGCTTTGAGTGAGCTGAAATTTGCTCTTCTAAAATATGAAACCTTTTTCTTAACACTAATCTTCAGCATGCTCAGCTGGATCCCAAACTCCACAATATTGTGAACACTGCAGTCAAGGCTGCCACTAACCGAGATATTACGAAGCAGGTTGTTTAGGTTTGAGATTAGTAAATCCAGCAGTACCTCATTCACAGTTGGCCCATCTAAGATTTTTATGAGGAGGCAGTTCAGGAACTTGATGGATGATGTAAACTATTGCACTGATCATCCAACAAATATCTGGGCAGCTGAAGTCACCCGTAAGAACCTGGTTCTATTGACCTGAAGCTTGCTCAAGTAACCCAAGTAATGCTTCTTTGGCCTTATTGTCTTGGTGTGGAAATTAGTAGCATATGCTACTGTAACATCTGCGTTGGAGATGACCCCTCTGATCTTGACCCAGAGGCATTCAAGAGGGCTTCCATGACTGCAGTGAACTTCTACACATTCAAGGTTCTCCTTAACATAAAGCGAAACTCCTCTGCCTCTCCCTCCCTGCCTGTATTTATGAAACAACCTATGGCCATTCATCACGATCCTCCAGTCATGTGAGTTGTCCTACTATGCTTCAGTTATTCCTATGATATCACAGCTTTCTGACTGGGTGTGGAGCTCCAGTTCCTCCTGTGTTTTCCCTAAGCTGTGTTTCCCTAAGCATTGGCATACATACGCTAGAGGTGATTAATCTTCTATTTTTCATGTTGAGATGCAGCAAGGAACATTTTTTGCTCTGTTTAGCCTGGCTTATTCCCAGTTGGTTGCAATGATGTGAGCTTTGCCACTTTGTACACAGTCCCCTGAATACTACAGTTTAAAGCACAACTCACCAAGTTGTCCAATATTGTCTATTTCTTCACAATTTTCTCCAGCAGAATTAGAAATTACTGTCCCACCACTAAATTTCTGAGCCTCTGGGGATTTATGACCAGAATGTTTTCATGAAATAATGGAGTGTCAAAAAATGATAGACTTGTCAGCTAAAAGGCAGTGCTAAGAAATGGAAAAGTGAATGGATGGAAAGATAAGTTTCAGGGAACACTGAAAGGCCAAAGGAGAAATAAGAATGGGAACTCAGACAGTGCTTATGAATCTGTGTTAGAATCATTTTAAGGATGATTTTAAAAAAATATGGGTGCTAAATTCTATGATTAATTTTATATTACCTAATGTAGGTGAACATTAATCACTGCAAACATAATATTTTACTCCTTCCTGTAATTACAGCTAAGGGCTAAATTCTGTCATGATCTGGACTCTGCTGTACTCCATAGTTTAGGGAAAAACTAATTCAATGAATATAAATCATGTACAGGAGGAAAGAATCTCAATTTGCTTTATTTTCAGAATCATGACTTAAATTACATTATTAAAGCAGAATCTATCAATAAAAGGTGTTATCACATTTATAAACTTGTGAGTTCTTTCCATCTAGCACTGTGTGATTCAACTACTTGAATTTAGATGTAGTTACATAATTATTTCTTAAGATTTGTCTTTCACTTTCTTTCACCAGAGAAAATAAATCTTGGTTTTAGATTGTGTTTGTGGGTCAAGAACTGTCCATTGGTTTGACTTCACATTGGAAAATCACCCATGTAATTTTTTTTTCCAGATGATTCTTTATTGTCTTTATATTAGGCTTTTACCTATGCCTAAACCTCTCTCTCTCTCTATCACATCATCTTTATCTACCACATCTATAACGATACCCATATCAATAACTTTTTTCTTTGATTCAGCTGAAATTCTTGCAGATCCAACTCTTAAAAAGTCAATTAAACTAAAACAAAGAGGACAACTATTTTTATACACACACACAAAAGGAAAGTTCTTAGTACTTACTGCTTAAAAAATGAGACCAAAAGTTTAATTCCACTTATTTTATCTGATGACTTTGATGCTTTTTAGCACCAATGCTGTCTTATTAGCTACTTTTGCTCAATTCTTCAGGTCAGGTTTAGCTCACCTTTATGTCTCTTTGAGCCTTCATAATTTCCATTTCATTGTATGTATTTTAAATCAGCTCTGAAGAGGTCTACCTGTTTTTCCATTTGATATTCTCATAGTCAAATCTCTCCTATGACAAGTGTAGGTGAGGCAAACCTACTTCTTGAAAAGGTGAATTTGTGTGTTCATGAAAAACTTTTGATTTCAGAAATGGCGTTGGTCAGTGTGTAAAATACGTATACTTTCAAAGAGTATCCAGGAGCTGCAAAACAGCTTGCAGAATTGCAAACTTGTATCTCTGGCTGCTCAGCTACCTTTAAAAACTGACTACAGATACTTCAGTTAAAGCACTTAAGGCTTTGCAATCTCTTCAGGGAGCCTGTGCTTATGCCAAAAGGATGTTACTTCCTCAGCCCAATATGATTTCGGCTAAATGGGGTAATATGCAAATTCACCACACAGCATTACCACTCACCAGAGGTACAGGGCGTCTGCCTTTCTCTTCCATCATAGGCTTCTCCAGATTCCCTCTCAGACTGTCAACATTGTGACATAGTTTCATTTTTAATATGAACTTTCTATCCCAAACCTATACATCCTATTATCTGAATAGTCCTGAAACAAAGTGCCTTACACTAGGAAAAGTTTAGGATATAATTGAGTTGATGTAATTTATATGCACGTGTATACACACACATGTAATTACACACATAGACACACACAAACACATATGTATGTATACATGTATATACATATACCTCTCCCTAAAAAGAATAAAAATAATTCCAAAAACTGTGGAAGTTTGATAGTGGATGGTTTTTTTTCCAGCAAGGACATTTTTAATGAGAAGTAACAGCTGATTAGATAAGAAAGTAATTGTTTAAAATGGAAAACAAGAAACATTAAAAATTTTTCTCTATTGTCTATCTTGTGCAGCCCAGGACATTGAAATTTTTTAAGATTAACAAAGCCTGTATAAAGCATGGATAAATTGAGTAAGTGATCAAACAAGGTTGTTTCCTCCATTTAAAAAGTTGTGAGAAAGACTGAATTTTCTGCATTCAAATACAGGTTACTTAAAATGTGAATGGAAAGGTATTTTTGACATTGTTAAGTAAGGATAAGGAAAGACGTGTCAATGAAAGTGACATGAATTCAAGTAAACACTATCATTTACTCCTAAAAATACACTGGTTTATATCCATTTGAATATATATATGGACTGACATGTCAATGTAGGAAAAAGAGACAGAACCAAACAGATAAAGGAATCAACTTGGTGCAGATGCGTGAGAGGCCTGGAGTTAAAAAATTAAAAAAACCTCAAGACTAAACAATTCAAATCTGCTCTACAGAAGTTTTCAGAAGTTACAAAACGGAGTCTATCAGGCTTTATATGTGTGGTGGTTTTAATCTAGGCCTTCCCTGGTTACCAGTTTGTAACCAAGGAAGGGGCAGTGTTCCCAGTATTCCATACAATTTTTACGTAAATCGTAATATAAATAAGAGGAGAGAAGCGGCCTTCCTCCCTCTTCTCTTCCGCCGGAGCTCGGGAACAGTGGGTCCCTGCGTTGGTCTCGCTTATCTAAGGCTGAGGCCTGCAGCATCCACTGACCAGCCACGCGGAAGCTTGGAGAGTGCTGGCAGTGTCTGCCAAGCCTGCTTTCTAAGGGATGTGGTGAGATTTATTTTACTAGTTATTTTACTAGTTCTCAGGTTTGATTATGCCTATCTATTCGGTGTCCCTTTTTGTTTCCTTTTGTCCCTTTTTCCCCTTTCCCTATCCCTTCGGGGGGTGTTTGGATTCCCGTTTGCTGTGTACATAGCATCTTAACTGTAATATACATAAAATATATTTTTTATATAACTAGCTTGGTTTTCGAGTTGTTCAATTTGCATAGTTTTTTTTCCTTTGCCCTGGGGGAAGTAGAAAGGGGGGAAGAGAGGGGCTGCTACTGGGGGGTTGGGCATTTGGCAGGGAGCCAAGTCCGAACCATCACAATATGATAAAGAATACTAAATTTATTCACCTTGGAGAATGATTCAAGCCTTACAAACAAGGCCTCCATTTTGCTCAAAATTAGTCACATGATAAATGGTTTTCTGGAATAGAACCCTTTAGGAAAGTCAGTTAGAATTACAATGTGTTAGCGATAGTAACCCTGTGGGATATATTATTGGGAAAGGTGGCTTTAATAAAAAATACATGTTTATTCAGGAACACACACTGAACATAAATGTTCTGAAACAGGGTATTGTGCAAGTGAAGAACTTTGAAACTGGGATACTGCTAAAAGAAAATAAAGTGTTCAAGAAACTTTCATCCAGCTTTCTTTACCCAGCTCTTAACACTACTTATGGTTTTATACCATTTTACCATCACTGCCATTAGAAAAAGTTACCTTACTCTAGATATACCACTGCATGCAGTGTTCAAACAGTCCTCTCAGAAGTTTTGATTTAAACTATAATAAACAAAAGTGTATGTACCTCTATTTTGCTCAATCTAATATATTATATATTGTGACTGAATGCGTAAGAAAAACAAAATCAGGAATACTGTATATTACTTTCCCTGTGGGTGATCAAAACATTATTTAGCAGTTCTATAATTATGGTGTATTAGGAAAATTCACATTCAGATTTGCTGCATCCACCAGAGTGGTTAGACTAGTCAGAGAACACCGAGTTATAATAGAAATTATAAAAGAGAACAGTTTAAAACATGCTAGCAGACTTTTTATTGATAATGTAGTTGACTAAGTTTGTTGTTAAAGAGCCACAGGTGTAAAGCACGTGAAAGAGTAATTGCTGTGACAGTTCAATGCGATTGTTACATATTAAATATTCAGGCACAGTTTTACTATTTACTTTTAACATATTTATGCACCTGAACAACCACATCTGAAACATCATAAAAGAGGAAAAGTTAAAAAAGGAACCATAAAACCAAATGAAAAAGAGAACAAGAGTTATGAGCACAGTTGGTGAGAATTGTAGTAAGTGTATAAATGGATAAGGAACTGCTGAATGTTCTCTCATGGACATTTTCCGCCATAGGAAGAAATCAAAATGTACTTACCGACAGACTGCTGAACACTACTGAGCTTTCACTAGTCTCCTTAATCACTTGCAAAATTTAAATTGTTAATGTGAATAGAAATGAAATAAATAATCTTTTTCTCAGAATGAATTTCTTTACTTCTCTCAGAAATTATTCATCAGTCTGCAATTTTTTGTCTAGTTCTCAAGAAACCTTCACTCAACCCTAATGATATCTCCATCTCCATCTTGAGTCAAATGAATTAGAAATTGCAAAAGAACCCCTTGGATTACAAAGCTAACAAGACAATATAGTACAATTATGGGAGAAAAAAAAGCCATGCTTGTACCCTCAAGAAGGGGAGAAGTAGAGAGTTCAGAAAGTCTGTTAGGGATGAGACTGTGGTTATTGATTTTACATGGAAAGCAATCAAATTCACTGGTAAATCCTCTTCAGAAATAATTCTGTTTGAAGAGCAGACAAGTGTAATTGTAACAACACACTCCTCTTGTCTACTTTTGGCACATTGCACAACATCACCTGCTTAATTAATGAAGGCTGGCTTAGACCTACGTCTAAGTTTTGGTGTGAGTCACAAATTGCACACAGGTTCAGAGGAAAAGCACAAGCAATACTATGATCACTCACACACTCGCTGAAAGATTTCAGCCTGCTAGGTTGGATTTACACATTTAAAACATACAGAAGTTCCTGGAGAAACTTGTTTACAGTCACAGACAGTTTCTCTCTTAAAAACCCTGTGGCTGGCAATCCTGGATCACCAATGCACATACAGAAAAGCCCATTCCAGAGGGAAAGCACACCTGACATATGGAATTCTTTTGCAACTGAAGCCCAGCAAGTGGAAATGGTGTAAGTGGACATTTTGGCCTTCTGTGGACAAGTGAACTGAAATACAATTCTGCCCCAATACATGCAAATATCCTGAAGACTCAGGTGAAGAAGAGCTGGAGTAAAAGCCACCTTTATATCTAATAGCTGGAAATGGGCTTTCTTTCCACAAGCTGAAAATGGGAGAAGAAAAAACTAAAGGAGACTGTCATTTGCCCAGGGAGGAAGGATAACCAGCACTGTCCCACAGAACAGACTGTCCCGGCCTATTTCCCACAGCTAGTGTCACATAAAAACTCTACACACTCTAGGCAGCAAGACTGAAAATCCCAGTTCTGCTCACTTCTTGATATAAGTGAGACTCACTCATGTTTACTGCTGGCCATGAATTACCTCCAGCCATGACTTATTGGCAATGGAATGTCTTCTGTAGATCTCTTAGTGTGTTATGTCTCCCCCTACCTCTGTAGCTGAGGGAGAATAAAATCTATGACCCTTCTAATCACCAAATGATGAAACAGAAACAGGTAGGATACTGCTGCCTCTGTTGCCTTTTCAATTTTTTCTTTTTAAAGACCTTGTCCTCTACCAGTAGGCACCTATTCTGGGTAGATGATGAAGAAGTTGGATTCTCTGAGTCTGTGACTGGTGTCTAGGGTTGTCTGCTGGTTGCCTTCATAAACACCAGGGAGGAACAGTTTCCTGAGGAATGTCTTGACTGACTTGTTTCCAGATCTGCTTCCAGAGGTCTTCAGAGGTGTCAGTCTCCATCACTGAGGAAACGTAGGTGTTCCATTTAGGGCACAAGGTGTCTGAGCCTACAGACTTAAGACATGTTCACTTGTCTGATGTCCAATATGCCTCAATATGTTAAGGGAGAATGGTGATAGTGTTTGATAATTTTATACATTTTACTTATATACCTAAATATAAATAGATAACAGGTGAAGAGGAGCCCAAAAGGAGCCACTGGGGAAGGACAGAGTTTTCCTGAGGGTGATATGGAACACTTAAGTAAAACTCCAGCTCTGAATTGCCCTATTTCTTTGCTTATTATTGCTAAGCTACTTTGGATAGTAGAGGTAAATGTCTTAAAGCTGGTTGTCTGAATACTAGTTTCTGTAGCCTGACTGCATGCAATAATGTATGCAGTCCAGAAGATTCAAGGGTACACTGGACATGTTGCAAAGGTAATTTAAGTAAAAACATTTTCTGCTAGTCCTGATCTCTAAAGATGCCAGTTAGTTTTCTGTTCACTGCCTTTCGTATAGCCATACACCCAGGGCTTCATTGTATGAAGCACTGAAATGAAAAAATCTGTCTTGTAATATCAGCAGCACAGCACTGACCAATAGTAGGAGGAGATGATGAATTGTTCTGGAGCACAGCAATTTTAAAAAATTGTTCTTGGCCTGCTGACTACCAATTGCTTGCTGACTTCAAAAGTGCTGCAACAAATTCATGCATCATATCAGAGAAGGTTTTTTTTTTTCTCTTAAAAATTATCTTCTGGATTTTACTTTGGCATTTATTGTGAATCAGAATCTCACTGATCTGCTCATGACTTGCATCAGTTTACTTATTAGTTCATTACACAACTGGTTAGAGATGCAACTTCATCTTTCTCAGGGAAAAATGGGACTTGTTTGAATTGATCCAAATGGTGGTAAAAAGCAAGCCTGGAAAATAAGATTTCCTTTGTTTTATTAGAAAATTATAGTGTTCCCTTACTGATAATAAAAATTTAATGAAAAGCAATTAGCAAAGGAAATAATTTTCAATAAAGACAGTAATGTTCTATTAAGTCATACTTGATAGCTCAACAGAACTCTGTTTTATCTTCAGTATTAAACTCTATGACAAAGAAATTATAGAATTTCTGTCAGGCATAGTATGATTTATTTACCATGAACATGCAACAGTGACTGGTATTATCTTTTCTATGACAGGACGAAAATGAAACTCAAGGCTTTCTGCAGATACAAATATCAAAGCACTATCAGCCATGAAAGTTTTGTTGGATCTTACCTCTGATGGTGATTATCATCTGGTGATGGAAGGTAGTCATGCTTTATTTCGAGGTTTAATTTGTAAGTGTGGTACAAATTAGTAACAAATTGGCCTCTCAATTAGCGGTTTATCAGTTTCTAATGCCTTCAGGGTCGACAGACTGTCTATAATAATGGTTTATATGCATCTATTGATGTGCAGTCACTATCCATGAAATACTATATTACTGTCTGAAATAAGGAAATAATACTTATTAATCACATATTACCCATTGAGAACACAACCAGTACATCCAACATGTTAGTAATGATGAGATAGCTCCTGCTGCAAGATACTCTTCTTCAGCAAAATGCCTTTGCCAAAGCTGGCAGTATTGTTTCCCTAAATCTCCTGTTGCAGGCATCCTCAGTGCAGTATTAATCCCATCTCATTTCAAACAGTTCATAAAGGGATGAAATAACAAATTAGTGTCTGTCTGATCTAAGGGACTTATATATGTAATTATGATATTAACAGTCTTAACAACCAAAGCCCACCCCCAAACCTCCATATGCTTTATCGCTCCTCTTAGCAATAAAGAATGAGAGGAGTACTAGGAAAATAAATGTCTTTAGTTCAGCTCACCCACTACCATGGGTTTTTTTAATTTAGCTCCAGGAATGACCCCAGAAATGAAGGAGTGTTGCATTCCCTGTTGCTGCCTTCCACATTTTGAGTAGTGCAAATTTGCAAGGGGGATTTAACTTATAAACAACTTATGTCATCTAGGATGAATTAAGAGAGTATTAAGATATAGAACTTTACAGTGACACTTTCTCAGAATAATCAAAGATACAAGAAGTGGCCTTTACAAAATGAAATAAAAATTGAGGGCATGGTGTACACTAGAAGGACCAGGGAAAAAGACAGAAGCCTTTATCCCTGGAGGGGCAAAATAAAATATCCTTCAGTGTTTTCACACTGGTTTTAAGTTGTGGAGCAGTAAATAATTTAGTGTTTCTGTGATTCCAAGTATCTTTAATTTCTCAGAAACTCTGAGCATATTCCTATCAAAGTTTTAATTCCTCTCCTTTTTTGGAAATATTTCAAGTGTTATTTGGACTTGCTAATTCTATGTTTAATGTCTTAGAGAAAGAAAGAAGAATGTTAAATGTTAGCTCTCATGAAAGATAACAGTTATTTATCTTGTGTTACTTTGTAAAGAGAGGTTAGGAAAATAGGCATTGGTTGGAAAGGTCAGAGAGAGCTGGGAAAGAAGTGCCCAGGCTGGCAGAAGAGCAGAGGCACTGCTGGGAAGGCAGGAGCAGGTTACTGAGCTGTATGACACTGTGGCTGTGGAAGGGATGTTAGTGATCAAGGTGTTCATGAGGACTGGGATGAGGAGAAAACTGTGATGTTAACTGTGTTATCTTGTGTAACAGTCACTGTGTCCTCCTGCTCAGACAGAGGGAGCCAATGACCAATGCATGGGCAACTCGCAGTGTATCTGCAGAGAAGAATAAGTTTTCTATGCCTTTTAACATGATATAGCAGGTTAATTACTATTCTAAGTCTTCACTCAAAGCCCAAGAACTGGGAAAAAGAGTGAGGGGCTCCTGGCTGTGGTGTGGGAAGGAGGCAAGAGACTCATTGGAGCTTCCTGAATGCCAGGGAGTGCTGGGAGGCCTTGACTACCCTGAGAAGAATTTTACTTTTCACCAATAGCAGGTGGTTATACCCCTTGGCTCTTCTGCTGGTTAGAAAAACTGGACCAAAATTACCAGAACTACTACTTAGAC